AGTTTGCCATCTGCCAACTTGAAAACTCTTGCAGCCGAGTGCGCTGGCGAACTGCGCCCGTGTTTTCCATGGCGGATAATGACTTGCCCACTGCACAAATGGGACAAGGGCACTCTGCCTTACACCGGAACCCAGACTGCTGCAACAGCACAAGTAGGCAAAAATGAGCACTCATTACAATCACCGGAGACTGACTGTTAAAGTCACACTTGCACCCACTGAGTCGCCGGCTGGATTCACTCATCCAATCGCCCCAGCGTCCCTGATCACCATGTCGGCACAACCGACAAAGGAACTGACAGTTTCCACAACCGAGACGGGCATGATCTCACTTTCTTTTTAAGCTCAGTCAGTAACACCGGCAGCCAGGTTTAAAGCACGAATTAAGCTGTGACTGCCAGCTGAAAGTGGGAATGTAACTATTAGCCTTATCAAGGTAAGGACTGTGTTTCACTTCCAGCCAGCAGTCCAGTGTCGGGTCCAGGACTCTCTGGCTGGGCCAGTGTCGGGACACAAATTTCGACGGCTCAGAATCATTCATTGGAGCAGAACTGTTTGACCAGGGACTTCGGGTTCAGTGTCGATGATCAACTGTACGTGTGCAGCTCATCCTGCATTTCCAGCAGTGCTTCAATCATGTACTCACGATCCCGGAATGGAGCATAGTAGGCTCGGTGGTGGATCCACCTGACAATGGCTTGTTCCATGGTCATCGAGGCAAAGGCCATGACTAGGACACAATAAGCAGCACAGGTCCTGTTAATGCCACCGTAGCAATGGACAAGCACACGAATTGGCCTCTTCTTGCCTCCACGCTTCCGACCACCTCCCTGAAGCTTCATCGCCTCCAACAAAGCAAGAGCATTCCCGAGCTCACCAGGGAATGTCTCATCGGCCACCTTCAAGGCACTCTGCCTTCCATCGGCACTCTGCCTTCCTTCAGCGGCTCTTCCGAACAGGCTGCCCATGTCACTTCCCTTGCTGAAGCCCTTGTCATAGGAGCAGCCATAGCCAAATGAGCCCTTCGTCGATGCCTTCTGGCTTTGCATGTGATTGGAAACCTGACAGGGGCCGCTGTAGCGCTTGCTGATTGTCTTGCCCTTGCCCCTGCCGCCATTGGCCTTGCCCATCATTTTGCCCTTGATGGCACTCTGCCTTTGACTCTGGCTGAACTCCTCTGCTGAGCGCTGCCAGCACATCATCATCTTTCTGAAATCTGAAATGAGGCGGCGCCAAATGGTCTTGAACTCATGACTTCTTTGTTCAGCATCAAAGTCATTGGCATGTGTTTGATCCCAGCCACCATACCGAAGATGTGCAGTGCCAAACGGTCCACAATTCGCCAAATACTGATACCAGTCCCATGGCTCAAAATTCCGAGGTCTGTCATCTGCATTCATAGAGATGACAATGTCAGGCTTGACCCCGAGCTGGTCATATCGGATCGGGCAACCAATACTGCCAACAAACAGTTGCCACTGGGGATGGTCGTAAATCAAAACATCATCCATGGGCCACGTCTCGACATCATGCTGGCATGGCCGAGGTGGCGGGATCGACCCAGGCAGCACATCTGTCTGGCGGGTCCATGCTTTGTACAACTTCATATCCATATCTCCGAAATCTGAGATGGCCTCAACTGCCAATTTGATTCGTTGATCCAATTGTGCAGCCCTTTGGATCTTTCGGAGCCCGGTGGTATAGTCGGCAGCTGATCTGCCACAGTGTAAACAATTACACCGAAGTTGTTGCACGGCTTCGTTCCAGTAATCACTGCCAAGGTCAATGTGATTGGCCTGATTCTGATGGTCAGCAGCAGAAGTCTGGCACTCTGCCTCGGAACTCCCTGAGCACCTTGAAACGGTCGTCGGCATCACTGCTTTCATCGAGCACACAATTGTCCAACGATTAAAACATTAACAGTGACTAATGCATCACTATACAGTACATTAACCAATGATATGTAACAGTGTGTTACTACTGTTACATCAGTATGAATGAATCACTTGATTCCCTGGCCGGCAGATGTCGATCATGTATGGTGCAAAGCAACTCACTGACAGACTATGCAGGCAGGCAGGCAGCCAGCCAGCCTCGGAGACAGCAGGGTCCTGAGGACATCACTGCCACCCGGCACTGTGTAGTCCGCATGTCATGCTGGGTAACCTTTTTGAATCCAAGTTGCGCACACTACCGCTGAGGTCTCAAATCGGACAGTCTAGCTCTGCTGGCGAGAGCGTCGAATTCAAAATCCTCTAAGCACACGCAAACCCGGCACTCTGCCTTCCCCAACATCCGTAATACGGTCTCGGAGGCTGTACAAACACGACAAATCATTGATTCAGTGACGACACAAATTCGTCTGACACATTGTAATGTAAAATTCCTGGCACTCTGCCTTGCCTGCAATCCCGCACAAATCTGGTCTGCTCATTAACATACCAGGCTACTTGCAAGACTTGCCCACGCTCTTGAGAATTCAGAAACGTCCACAATGTCGTAAAGCACTCCTCTAGCATCGTGTCGAACCGAATCACAGAATCATCGTCGTCAAAACTGTCCGCGACCGAGCCCGCAGTGCTTGCACCCTCATCGTCAACCAGAACCCAGTCCGAGCCCAGAGACTCACTGTCACTCCACGACATCGACCACATCTGCCGGCTTGCAGGGAGGCCTACTACGACTTAGACTAGAGACAGAGCAGGTCGTCGGGATCACTGCTTTCATCGAGCACACTTCAATTGTCCAAAGATTAAAACATTAACAGTGACTAATGCATCACTATACAGTACATTAATCAATGATATGTAACATTGTGTGACTACTGTTACATCAGTATGAATGAATCACTTGATTCCCTGGCCGGCAGACAGATGTCGATCATGTATGGTGCAAGGCAACTCACTGACAGACTATGCACGCAGGCAGGCAGGCAGCCAGCCTCGGAGACAGCAGGGTCCTGAGGACATCACTGCCACCCGGCACTGTGTAGTCAGCATGTCATGCTGGGTAACCTTTTTGAATTCAAGTTGCGCACACTACCGCTGAGGTCTCAAATCGGACAGTCTAGCTCTGCTGGCGAGATCGTCGAATTCAAAATCCTCTAAACACACGCAAACCCGGCACTCTGCCTTCCCCAACATCCGTAATACGGGCTCGGAGGCTGTACAAACACGACAAATCATTGAAGCAGTAACGCCAGAAATTCGTCTGACACATTGTAATATAAAATTCCTGGCACTCTGCCTTGCCGAAAATCCCGCCGAAGTCTCGGAAAGAGTGTGAACATGATCTGCTCCTTGACAGACCAGGCTACTTGCAAGACTTGCCCACGCTCTTGAGAATTCAGAAACATCCAGAATGTCGTAAAGCACTCCTCTAGCATCGTGTCGAACGGAATCACAGAATCATCGTCGTCAAAACTGTCCGCGACCGAGCCCGCAGTGCTTGCACCCCCATCGTCAACCAGAACCCAGTCCGAGCCCAGAGACTCACTGTCACTCCACGACGTCGACGACATCTGCCGGCTTGCAGGGGGGCCTACTACGACTTAGACTTGAGACAGAGCAGCTGTAACACGACTATAGTAGATTACGCAGGGCAACAGCGAGCAAAACTGCTGCAGCGGCAAGTTGCGATACATGACACGCTCACTGACTATGCAAGGCAGCTTGTCCTCTGCGATGGCAGCATGTCCTCAGGATCCTCGTCATGAGCCTCGGTGCCATGACTGTACCATAATAATGGAAGTAGCTGAAGCAAGCTGATGCTGAGATCCCAGCAGTTGGCATCCACTTCTCGATGGGCTGGAAGCCGATGAAGACCGATGGGAGAGAAGGAAATGGAAGAGAAGGCGTTCACTAGGCTTGGATTCAAACCGAACACTTAGACCTGGCCAACGGTGTGGGGAGCAACCCCGATGGGGCAGGGACTTAAGGAAGGCAACCTCGAGAGGCTCGACTGGCACTCTGCCTCTGTCGATCCAAGTCGCAAGGCTCCCTAACTAACGTGACAAGCATGGATGGCCTCCCCTCCTGGTTGGGAGAAAAATAAAAAAGCCACAACCACTGGACCACCCCACCCAGCACTTTAGCCCATGTGCCCGGGTGTCATATGCCACTGCCCTGGCACGTTGGCCCCAAGGCGGTCCAGGTACCATCGACAACACCTGGCACCCGGCCAACGGTGTCCACGAACCGAGATGGGCAGTCGATCCGTGTGGGTAAGGTGGCACTCTGCCTCTGTCGCTCCAAGTCGCAAGGCTCACTAACGTGACAAGCATGGATGGCCTCCCCTCCAGGGCTGTAAGCAGATTGCGAACAACACCCACTGGACCACCCCACCCGGCACTTTAGCCCATGTGCCCGGGTGTCATATGCCACTGCCCTGGCACGTTGGCCCCAAGGCGGTCCAGGTACCATCGACTCAACACCTGACACCCGGCCAACGGTGCCCACGAACCGAGAAGGGCAGTCGATCCGCGTGGGTAAGGGCAAGATCTCAAGGCAAGTCAACATGTCACTACGGCCTCCCTTCTTTGTTCAATCACAACCCAAAACTATTTAAAAAGATTAAATATTAAAAATTATTAACTTCAACAACAAATAAACAACAATTTTGTAGACATACAGCAGCAGGAAACCAGGTAGAACAACAGGAAGCCAATTGACTCACTCAGAAACAAAATTCACAAACATGTATTTTTTACACCAAAAATAAAATAAAAGAATTTTAACAACTGTAAAACACAAAAAAACCTATTTAAAAAACTTTTAAATACAAAACAATACTTTTAAATACAAAAAACACTTTTAAACACAAATAAAGCCAACCACATACAAAAATGAGATTTTGGGTTCCTTTCATATAAGCCTTGTTGATCTAAACCCTGTGGTTCTGGTTCGGCGCAAAGGGTTAAGGATAAGTGGGGTTATCCTAATTATAACCTACATATAAGCTTACTTTCTATCTAAGTCCCATGATCCTCTAAGTAACTCCAGGACTACCGCTGGGATGGCCGTTCCTTTAGCGAGCAGCCGACGGCTCAGTCGTGGGTCCTAAATGAGGGACCCAAAACTTAGGGGTATTTAGAAAAAATTTTTGATTTTGGTCATTATAATCTCTAAGAAACAGGTAAAATTACAATGTTTGCTAGGGTTCTAAGCTCACTATAGAAAAGGCACATAAGCATAAGCATGTTTATAGGGATATCCTTACCTTATTGAGTTTCATTATAAGGGGATTTATCTGGGATATCCCTATCCAGATTTTTGTTTATGTGCTTTTTTGGGGGCCCTACTGAAGCACCTAGTTTAGGGGTCGTAGGGTTTCGGGCATTGGAGTAATTATCTTAGTAGCTGAGTGGATACACTTTACACTTCTTGGGATAACACTAGCCACTATAAAACTGAAAGTGTACACTTTTGGGGGCTTATGAACTCAGCAACTAAGTTATGGGTTTACTATGGTCGAATTATGGGCCGGAGAAAGTATCAATAGTATCCCCTACAATCCCCTATACTAATTAGACAGTAGTATTCCCCAGCACCGTATTCCAAGTATTGAGGCCCCTACATCACGTACTTGATCCCCGAAAGGGTGCCATGGGGTTTAGGGTTTTGGGTGTGGGTTTTGGATTTTGGGGTTTCGGCTCTGGTTTGTTGGGGTATAACATTGCTGCTATACGGATTCTGTAAGGGTTCTGTACGGGCTCCATGAAGATCGGCTGACCTTCAGTGCCTACATACTGGAAAGAATAGTTTCCACATTGGGATGTTCTGAGGAAGTACGTACTATCATGTTTGGAGTGTGCATCCACTTCCCGTATAGTTCGAATTCAATTCCTTTAAACCACAACCCTAAGCTTTAAGCCCTAGACCAAATTCTCAGAACGAGCCGCAATCTGATCACCAAAATGGCTGGGGGCCCGACCGGGAGACAAGGCATCATCCTAGACGTGGCAAACCATGATCCTGCAGATTGCAATTTCTTTACCGCCTTCCACGAAACTGGGCTTATGCTATTGATGATGTTCCAACTTCCTGGCTTCTACTTTAGTATACACACCAACCCACATGTCCTAAGCCTGACAGAGACCTGAAATCTCAGAAAGACCCTTCAACATACTCTCATGCTGAATTCCGCCGAGATCCAGAGATCGAGGAAAACGCGACGGCGGCTTGAATCTCAGTTCATCCCGACCCCTAAACCCTAACTCCCTAAATTCAGTGAATCCTCGACCCAAGAAATCTGAAATCGTGAGCTTCGTCAGGGTTCGAGGTCGACACTTATCTGGATATCGGATTTAAGATTTAGGGTTTTGGTCTGGGATTGAGAATGTCCCACTCTAAACCGTGAACCCTAAACCTGTATACTCAAGAGGCTTTATACTGAGGCCCCGAAGCACACATCCGAATATCTGCAACCGTTGGTTCGAGAGCGAGAGCTTGAACCAAGTTTTTGCACGGTTTAGGCTCGAAGTTTAGTGGCTTAGCTAGGACTTAGCCGTTTTGGGTTCAGACTTTCGCAGTTTTGTATTTTAGTTTAGCCTTTAGGCTTTAGGCCTTCGATGGTAAGGGTTTTTTGGGCTAAGGGCTGCTCATCACCCCAGGCCCCTTTGAATCCAAAAGCCCTAAACCGTACACCCTACACCCTAAACCCTACACCCTAAACCGAAACCCTGAGCCCCAAACCTTGTTTAGGATCTCAGCAACGATCAGGGCATCCATGGGAGGATTCCGTTCTGGGGGTCTCCGCGGCTTGGGGGTTTAGGATTTATAAGGTTTACGGTTGCAACTAATGAGTATCCGCAGCCTCTGGTATAAATACCATCCCCCAAATCCTGTTCTCGTCATTTCGCCCCTATCCAAAAAGGTGTTTGTGACTCGCTTCTGGAACATGCAGGATGAAGATCTCTACTTAGGGGGTTATAAGTCCCCTAAGTGTGGCTATCCTAAATCTAACCTACTTATAAGCTTACTTACTAAGTCCCATGAGCCTTCAAGTACTAGACTACCGGCTCAAGCCGCTTAGGAGTTTGTGTTTTAGGGTTCGGTGTCGTGCCGAGTTTCGGTTTTAGGAGTCTAGAGCTTCGGCCGGAAGTGGCCTAGCCCTAATCCTCTTGAACACCATACCTGTATTCGAGCTTCAGTGAAGCATGAACCGCTTAAAACCCCTAAAACCTAAACCCTGAAACCCCTAAACCCGAAGCCCCAAACCCCTAAACCCCAAACCCCTAAACCCTAAACCCCAAACCCCTAAACCCTAAGCCCTAAACCCTAAACCCCAAACCCCTAAACCCTAAGCCCTAAACCCCAAACCCAAAACCCCTAAACCCTAAGCCCTAAACCCCTAAACCCCAAACCCCAAACCCCTAAACCTTAAACCCCTAAACCCCAAACCCCTAAGCCCTAAACCCTAAGCCCTAAACCCTAAACCCCAACCCCCTAACCCCTAAACCCTAAGCCCTAAACCCCTAAACCCCAAACCCCTAAACCCTAAGCCCTAAACCCTAAACCCCAACCCCCTAAACCCCTAAACCTTAAACCCCTAAACCCCTAAACCCGAATCCTCAGCTCCTCAATGTAACCCTCGAACCCAGCCGCCCCAAATGCGAAGCCTCAAACTCCGAGCCCTAAAGCGGGTCCAGGGCTTTGGGTTTGGGGTTTCTTAGGGGTACCTAGAAATAATTTTTTAAAATTTTGGTTATTATAATCCCTTCTGAGTTCAGTATAGGTTTGGGTTTGGGGTTTCCCCCCCTCCCCTCACACATCCCCGCACCCGAACGCGGGAACTTCAAACCGCAAACACTGGAAGAACTTGAATTTAAGGGAGCCCTTGAAGGAGCCATTAACCCTCGATGGAGACCCCTCTTAGAATCCTTCTGAGAGCTCAGGCACTAAACCTTGCCGACGGATCGTGCAGTCGGAAGAGAGCTCCGCAACACAAAGACTCCAAACCCTCAGCCCTACTAAAACCTAGTTTTTTGCAGGGTCCCTATAGATACTGTGCTTCAGGGTGGAGGCCTAGAAAAAAGTCGGTTATCCCAGCTTAAGGTGTGCGCTAAACCCTCAGAAGGAATCCTACCCAGAGCAGCAAAAACCCTAGACCCTAAGCCTCTAAACCCTATAAACCCTAGAACCCTGAACCCTACATACCCTTAAACTCGAAAAAAATCCAAACTCTAAGCCCTAGACCCTTGCTAGTTGATACAGACGAAGGCACTTAATGGATCAGGGGACTTAGTAAGTAGGTTTTAACTGGGGTTATAAGTCCCCTAAGTGGGGTTATCCTCATTCGAACCTACATATAACCTTACTTACTAATTAAGTTCCATGATCCTGTAAGTAGACCCTAAACCCTAAACCCGATTAAAGAACCCTATAGGACCCTTAAAAGGAGCCCTAAACCGCTTCCTTTGTCCCATGAGCATTTAAGGCCCTAAACCTCTAAACCCTAAACCCTAAAACCTAAACCCTATAAACCCCTAAACTCCAAAAACCTAAACTCGAAGCCCTAGCGACCTTTCCGAGGTAAGCGCACGAACCGCCAGGAGCGACGACACGGCCGACGGGAATCGCGGACTCTCGCCTTGAGCCCTCCAAAACTTAGGGGTACTTAGAAATGATTTTTAATTTTGGGTTATGATAATCCCTAAGAAACAGCAAAAAAATTTGCTAGGGTTCTAAGAACTGTATAGAAACCCTAGTAGTCGAGTAGGTAACCTTTAACCTTTTTTTGGGTAGTATAGTCCCTCTATAACCGCTATATAACCAAAAAGGTTAGCCTTTAGTTCCGCATGATACCCGACAATAGGAAACCCTGAGCCTACTAAAAGGCTGATGGGGCTTAGTAAGTAAGGTTATAAGTAGCTTATGGTTGGTTATCTCTAGGGGACTTCTAACCCCAGTTGTAGCCAACTTAACTTACTAAGTCCCATGATCCTTTAAGTAAATACTAGAGTCTATAGAAACAAGCATGCTCATGGAGCTGTTAAGTAGGATATAGGTAAATAAACCTATTTGCTACTTAAGAGCTCTAGCAGCTTATGAGTTTGTAGTTTTGGAGCTCAGGGCTCAAGGTTTAGGAGTTTGTGATTTAGGGTCGACTGAAAGCTCTCACTGAGAGGACTTAGTATGGAACTAGGTCGTTGTACTCGGAAGTTAACGTAAGTTTCCTAGGTGGGATTTCCAGCAACAAGCTATCTACCTGCTAGTTTCCATGAACCTCCAGCAGGATGTGACAGGGCTTGATGGTGGATGAGAAGGTTTACTTTGTTCCCAAGTGAAACCCACACCGTAAACTCTAAGCCCTCAACCCTACACTCTTTTCATGTTACAGGGGCCCATTCGGAAACATGCTGCCTCGCGGTGTATTCAGTTACATAGACCAATACTCTGCCCAACCGTCACCTCCTTCCGTGTAGGATCCCTAAACATCCTTTATATGGGTGGTTGTCAAAATTATGGTCCCTTTTTGGGTCCCTAGTATAATGCGGCACCTATTTATTTCGGATACCCAAAAACAGACGCTAATTCTGACAACTACCCATATCAGTATCATAACCCCAATTAGGGTACTTACTAGTCTCCTTACTTCCCACCTACTACATCCCCAAAACCCTCCAAGTGTTCTCCACACTTAGTTGAGTCTGGATTCCTTACTTAAAGGCTCATGGGACTTAGTAAGTAAGGTTATAAGTAGGTTATGATTAGGATAACCCCACTTAGGGGACTTATAACCCCCATTATAACCTACCTACTACGTCCCATGATCCTCTAAGTAGAACCCAGGTCTCCCCCTGGGCTCCTTAGGTTCCCTTCTAAAACCACTACTTAGAGGATCATGGGACTTAGTAAGTAGGTTATAACTGGGGTTATAAGTCCCCTAAGTGGGGTGATCCTAATTATAACCTACTTATGACCTTACTTACTAAGTCCCATGAGCCTTCAAGTACCCCTAGGCATCTAAGGACTCATATACTAGGATGCCCAGTAGTACCCTTATTCCTTTTTTTCCTAGGTTCCTTATAAAGTTACCCAATACCAAAAAGAGAGGCCTTGTTGTTCTTAGGTTACTGGGTATCCTAGTATATTAAGGCTTTTCGGCCCAAAGACCACACTATATTAGGCGTTTGGGCTATCTTGATGCCCAGGCTACTAACAAAAGTCGGCTGTTTTTATTTGTAGGTTACTCGGGGTCCTAGTAACCAAATCCCTAGCACTACTATTTGCTTAACAAACCCCCAAAAAATAAAAATAATAATTCCTATATTACCACCATAAGGAATATATTTTTTATTTTTTTGGGGGGGTTCTTAAGCAAATAGTAGAGCATTTGCAAATCGTAGAAGCCGGAACTCCTCGGGCGCGTTTAAAACTGCTTCCAACGCCCTGTAAACCCTAAGCCCTAAATCCCTAGGAGCGACAAAAGAAACTAAAACCTTAACCCCTAAACACTAACCCCTAAACCCCTAAACGCTAAACCCCTAAACCCCTAAACCCTAAACCCCTAAACCCCTAAACCCCTAAACCCTAAACCCCTAAACTCTAAACCCCTAAACCCCTAAACTCTAAAGCCCTAAACCCCTAAACCCTAAACCCCTCCACAGTTTCTAAAGTGTCCACACGCTCACGAAACCAGGCTGAGCCACTAGCAAGCCTTGCAAAACGCAATCAGAAGCTCGGATTAAACCCTAAACCCTAAACCCCTAAACCCTAAAGATCCCTCTAAGGAACCCTGTGTAGAATGTAGATCCCCTCAAGGAGCCCTTTAAGAACCCTTCCTAAACTCCTAAAACCCTCAACCCTTAAACCCCTAAACTCCATTAAAGGAAGCCTTATAGAACGCTAATAGTACCCTTAGAAGGAACCCTAACCCTTAAACCTTTAAACCCCTAAACTCCTGTTATTTCAAGGTCTCGTTCTCGCCGGAGACGTCCTCGGCCCTTCGGCGCCTTTCAGTTTAGGGTTTAGGGTTTAAGGGTTCCTTTAGGGTTTAAGGGTTTAGGGTTTAGGGGTTTAGGGTTTAGGATTTAGGGTCTCCCTCAGGGTTTAAGGGTTCCTTCAAGGGCATTAGGGTTCAGGATTTAGGGTCTCCTTTAAAGGAAACCCTTGCAGCGTTTCAGGGCTCAGGGTTCGTTCAGGGGTTACTTGAAAGGTTTCGGCTGTAGGCTTTATGGCTTCAGAAAGATACACGGTTTGGTCTCGGAGCTGTACGGTTTCAAATCAAGGAGTGTATGGTTTTCCACGGTTTCCGATATGGGCTTTGACGTTCTGCAAGATGTTTCAGTAAGCAATCGTTGTTTTTCGGTTTTCCCGTGGCTATACTATGCAAGTGTGACAGTTACGGCCTCGGATGAAAGTACAACAGCCTATGCTCCTAGATTGACTGTCGAAAGCAGCACGGCCAAAATCTTGCGGACGTCTTGCCCGGCTATGGCTATGTAGCGTTACACACTAAAAGATGCTCAAACCCCATATTCTCAGAGACTCCAATTTTCCTTACTTAAGGTATATACCTTAAATCATAGTAGGATCCCTTATATGATTTAAGGAATCTTCCTTAATTAAGGTGTATTCGAATTCCCCTAAAACCCTAAACCCTATAGATCGCTTATAAAGGAACCCTAGGATTTCCTTAATTAAGGGATGGTGGAGTCTCTGGGATCTTCTCTGAGCCCTGGTACCTCCTGTGCACTCGCCTTCAAGCCCTGTGGCATCGGGCTTGGGTTCCCTGGACCGCACAAGTGGGAGTTTCCGAAAATTAGGGGTACCCTATTTTGGAGGTCCTTATAATGAGGATCCTTCTATTTGGGGTACTATATTAGGGTCCCCTATTTTCGGAAAGTCCCAAGTTACGAAACCCGAATAGGGTTAGTAGCTGACTGGATTTACACTTTTTGAGATAGTTTCACCCACTATAAAACTGAAAGTGTACACTTTTGGGGGGCTTGTGAACTCAGCAACTAGGTTTAGGATTTAGATTTCTAAACAAACCCGAAGCCATCATTTCTTTTGGGTTCCGAAAGGCTAATCTCGTTTAACCCAGCAAGTAAACCCGGCATTTTTTTGTAAGTACAAATTCGGAAGCCAAGCATCGTAAGACAACCTGGAAAAGGTCGGGCTTTCGAGGTCTAGGTCGATGCCCTAAACACTCCTTAAAGGCTCATGGGACTTAGTAAGTAAGGTTTGAAGTAGGTTATAGTTAGGGTAACCCCACTTATGGGACTTATAACCCCAGTGATAACCTACTTACTAAGTCCCATGATCCTCTAAGTAAGCCCTAAACCCCTAAAAAACCCTAAGCCCCGCCACGGCGTGGGGATGACTCCTAGGTAGGGAGATCCCTTAAAGGCGTCCCTTCTTAACCCCACTTCTGGCTCTCTTCAAAGGAACCCAAGGGTCGCTAAACCCTCAACCCTGAACCCATAAACCCGAACTCCTACCCAAGGCGTCGGGATGACTCCTATAGCTACGACTACTACTCGCCTTCGCCGCGGCCGCGGCATCGACGTCGACGACGATGATGTGAAGGCCTGGGAGGGCTTGGGGTTTTGGGTTACTACTATTTGCTTAAGAACCCCCAAAAAATAAAAAATATATTCCTTATGGGGGTCATATAGGGATTATTATTTTTATTTTTTGGGGGGTTTCTTAAGCAAATAGTAGGTTAAGGGTTTAAGGTTCTTCTATCATAGAGGGATTCATAGTACAATGGTACATGGCCCCTACTTTTAAGGGTTATTTGGTCCTGAAGGTAAGCTTGACCTGCAGGAACGAGTCACTGCACACAAATGACACATATCCGAATTTTCGGCCGCCATGTCCTACGTTTCCCAAGCTCTAACGCATGGAAGCCACCAATGCACTTCGTCTAACTATTCGAGCTTCTACTCAGCTATACAGCAATTTGTCCTGCAGTGTTAGCGTACGTTTATTAGGTTTTAGGTTTAAGCGTGTTGCTGTTTGTTCTCGGGCTCTGCGCTTGGAGATCGTAGAAATCGGAATATTTATGGAAAGCCGCAATAAGCAGGGAGTTTTCTAGACTCAGCAACCTGCAACTTAATATTTCTGCCCAATCCCTGCACTTCCTCAGCGAACCTGATGGTGCATGCTGACCAGAGACACCTAGCCCAAACCCCACCCCCTTTTCTTAGCACGCCCACTAATTCAAGGCTTGGGGTTCAGGGTTGATTCAATGAGACTTGACAAAGCTCTCGGAAAACAGAAACCTGATAACACCGTGCCTGGTAAGACCCTACAAAGGTTATTGGACCCCTAACCTCCAGGTCACCCGCGTAGATCCTACTTAAGAGCTTTGGGGACTTAGTAAGGGGGTTCTACCGTGCATCATAAGCCGAATTTTTGACCTTACTTGGAGGGTTCGGGGACGTAGTAAGTCCCCCGACTCTCCAAGCACTTTTGACTTGTTTGGGACGTGGCTCGGACCTGAGGACCCACACTTGTGGGGTTTCCTGATGTCTCAAACCCAAAACCTTAAACCCTAAAGCGAACTTTAAACAGGGGCTCTAAGCGCTATGCTGTTAGATTTAGAAGTCGCCGAATTCAAGGGAGTTAAGTGATTCAGGTTTTCAGGGTTTGGCGTGTAGAGCTGAGGGGTTTGGGGGGTTTAGGATTGAAGGTTCATTTATTTGGGATGTCTAGTTTGGTGTTCAGCGGTTGGGGTTAAGGGTCTTGAGGCTCAGAACCGCTTCAAGTGCAAAAACAGGTTTAGATGTGGCCACGCATGTAATAATCTGGGCGCATGCCCGTTTACGGCAGATTTAATATGCCGCTGAGCCCCAATCGAATTATCAAGGCCCTATGCTGAAACCCCATATGGGTAGTTGTCAAAATTAGGGTCCCTTTTTGGGGTACCTTTATTAATGGGTGCCGTAGAATAATAGGGACCCAAAAAGGGACCATAATTGTGACAACCATCCATATTACCGCTTGTAGTCACTCTGTCATAATCCCTAAACGAGGGAGGCTCCACAGGGCAGAACCCTATTTTAATTATTGAGGCCCTAGGTTTAGGTTGCTTGTCTTGGTGCAGTCGTGAACCCCAAACAGCGCTTTGCATAAGACTTAGGCTTACGGTTTAGGGTTTAGGCTGCGAGGTTTAGTGCTCATGGGTTTCGGCCTCGGGGGCTTGAAGTGATAGGCTACCGATAAGCCTATCTGAAACCTGAGAAACCCCCAATCCTATGTTGAAGGAATTAAACATAAGACAGGAAGATCGTAGGAAATATCACCCGAAAAGGTCAGGTTCTTAAGAGTCTGGGGTGCAAGACATACCATGACTTGGGTTTCGTAAAAATAAACACTTGGGTAGTTCTCCAAACGAGCGTCCCTTTTTAGGTCACCAAAACAGTATGGCACCCGTACAAAAGGATCGTAAAAGGGAACCTAATTTACTGGGTCGGCCTTTGGTTTATTAAACATTTTCCTAATTGGGTTGATAAGGATCCTATCTATATATATATCTATATATATATATATGCTAATATTTTTCAACGGGCTTTAAAGGCCAGCCCAGTTTAGAGGACTGCCCACTTTCCAACTTATTCGCCTTCAACAAAGCGCGAAGTCCGCCTCTGTATTGGGGATGTCTCAGGGTTTCTAGTTGGGGGTCTACGGCTCGTGGGTGTTGTGTTTGTCAATGTTTCCCTTGAGCTCTAAGGACTCATGCATTAAGGCTTTTGGGCCCAAAGACCATACTATATTAGGCTTTTGGGCTATGTTGATCCCCAGGGTTTTTTTGCTTCTGGTTTATGTATGGCATGCTCCAACAACTTTTTGTTTTGCTCGCCTTTGAAAGGGGAGTAAAGCGCCAGCGTGGTTTATGTTTGTACTCTCTGTTTCAGCATTTGGGATCCTCTGTTCCCGTCGTGACTTGGAGGGTGAAGGGACTTGGTAAGTAGGTAACAAGTCGAGTTATGAGTACCCCAAAAGGGATCCTGCCCGGGGGGATATGATACTTATTAAGTCTATAAAACAATAACAACTACTTTGTAATCCCCCGGAGGGTCGAAGAAGCAGCCTCTAACAGGTGTGGTGTTCGCCTTTGCCTGAGCTGGGACAGCGGACTTCAGCTGATCTGCGTACGTATGATAGACTGCACGTCGATCGGTCACCGGACCTACACTACCCTAAACCCTGAATTAAACCCCCACCCTGAACCCCAAAACCCGACGATGTTCAGAGTGTAGTCTTGTGCTAAGTCCTCCGAGATACAGAACTCATTGCTCCTCTCGACCCCTCTACTTGCAGCACCAGCACCAGCACGTGCGAACATAGTGCGCTTCTTGGCATATGGTTGTCCCACCGATTGCGACATCAATGAAGATACCAAGCCTCCACATGACCTTAAGACTCCAATTGGGAAGTGGGCTTTGGATGCAGAACTTCCCAAACACCTCCATTTCATAACACCATCCGAAGAATACGCAGAATCCAAACACTACAACCCGAATGTTTCAAAGCGGTGTGGGAAGTTCTAACGAGAGACTATAGCAATGCGCAGCCTTGCAGCATCAGCGTTCAGAGAGGTTGCTGCGTCAAAGATTACCGGACACGTCTAAACTAAGGGTTACACAGCCCCAAACCCTAAACCCTTACTTAAACCCCGAACCCTCAGCGCCTTCACTTGCACATAGAGATGCAGGGTTTAGCGAAATCTTGAGCTTCAGGCTTTAGGGTTTAGGCGTTCGAGCTTGCGGGGGGGGCGCTGAAATTCCACACCCAACTAGAGGAGCTCTTTGGGTTCCAAATTTAGGGTTTAGAGGTTCAGGGTTTAGGGTTCGGATAAACCCTGAACCCTAAACCGTAAACCGGTCGGCCTTGGAATGACAATGTAGGCTTCAGAGCTGCTGCGGTGGTGTCTCGGTTTAGTCTTAGGGGCTGAGTAGGTAACCTTTGATCTTTCATGGGGTTTATATATATATATATAACCCTACTACAATTCGAAAGATTACCCTTTTGGGGGCTAGGGTCATAGATAAAACTAGTAACCTCAAATCCCTTTCTAAAAGGCTAGCTTTTTGTGGGCTAGGATACTCAGCCCCGAGGCAGAGCACTAAGGTCCCTACTTGAAGGCTCATGGGACTTAGTAAGTAAGGTTATAAGTAGGTTATAATTAGGATAACCCCACTTAGGGGACTTATAACCCCAGTTACAACCTACTTACTAAGTCCCATGATCCTCCAAGTAGAGTTTTCATGAGGCTCCGGCAGTTGCTTGGGCTCCTTCCAGGGCCTTGAAGGGTAGAAGGTCGGAGGTGTGTCTGCGGTGCGGAGCCTAAACCCCTAACCCCTAAATCCTAAACCCTAAACCCTAGATCCTAAACCCCAAACCCTAAACCCCTAAACCATCACCTAAACCTAAACCCTAAACCCTAGTTCTTTGAGGGTTCATTGGGTCGGACTACCTGACTCCTTGGCTGCAGTGCCAACTCCCACGAAACGGTAGGTTAATCACGAGAACCCAGACCCCCGAAAGGATCCAAAAAGTAGATCCCTTAAAGGGGGTTCCTATAGGGTACCTTTTGTTGCATAGGGCCCCAAATTGCGTGATCTACTTTCTAGATCCTCCCGGGGGTCTGGGAGGCTAATTACGAGAAAGGGGCACAATCCCCAAAACAGTAGCTCCACTAGAATACGAGCTATACCGCCGACTTAAGGATTCTGCAACTCTCCGGGATATGTAGAACTGTGAGAACTAGGTTGTTGAGGCTTTGGATTTAGGCTTACGGGTTTGGACTTGGATTTAGGGTTCAGGATTTTCTGGTTAGGAATTTGGATTTGCGGCTTTAGGGTTTAGGACTCTGGGTTTAATTTTAGGATTTGGGGGATTGGTGCTTAGGAGAGTAGTCAACCAAGGTACACGAACAAATGCACACGTGCCCAATATTGTCCGGCCGGACCCGCTCCTCGGAAGGTAGACCGGTTTTACTAGGGAACGGTGTGATTAGAAGTCATTCCTGAGCCCGCATATATCCCGTTGAACCCTTATAAAACCCTACAATGCCTACAACTCTAATTATGATGCTGGTTACTTTGATTATGATGCTGGTCACTTTGATTGTGATGCTGGTTGCTTTGTAAGCAGGCCTCTGTGCTACCTTGGACCTCAGGGCAAAAGCCCGATGTGACTGATAACCGGTTGGAGTTGTCGCTGCTTCTGCTCCGTTCTCTTCGCATAATGGCTTCGAAGGCTCACTGTATCAAACAGACCCCCAGCCTTAAGAACCTTACTACTACGATCAGCTCAGCGTCGTGACCTCAAGCCCTGAACCCTTAACCCCCCCAAACCCTAAATTCCCTAAATCCTAAACCCTGAACCCTAAGCCGAACCTTGAGCCACAGTCCCTACCAGCCTTTGCTACAGACAGAAGCCCGAAGCACAACCTCAGAAGGGTCCATAGCTTCTGAAGCGTGGGCTTTCAGGGTTTAAGGTGTAAGCCCGAAAGTCCAAAGGCTGGATCGCGGGTTAAAAATCCGCCCTAAACCCTCCTAGACCCCGAACT